AATCGACGGGGAAACACCATGACGAGAGTTACGCTAAAGGTGAAACGTTCGCGTAACAGCAGCCGCTCGGCGAGATCTGCAAAGCAAGCAGCAAACATCAAAACCTTAAGAGGTCTACTCATCATGTCACATCTTCTGCATGGCAAGCTGCACTGCGCCGTAGAACGGCATAAGGCTCAAAGTCTGGAAGGGGCAAGTCTTCCAGGCAGGGTGAAGCGATTAAACGATTTGCGAATGTTTCTGAGATCCAGACACGGAGGATCTTGGCACACTCAAACGGTGCGGAACCCACGGACCGGGTGTCAGGCAGACTCCCTCGCCCGGGAAGTGCTTCGACCAGCACCAAATGCTGAGATCTTTCGGTGGTCTCTAACATAGGCCAAACGAAGAACTTGTACTTCTGACTTACGGCACCTCACAGCTTTGATGCTCAGTCGGCTGAGTCCTACTAGTTGCAGCAAAGACCGCGCTGCAACGCTTGAACTATTTACAACATGCATGAAAACACCAGCAGTTGCTGTGCATTCATCTAGGTGAGGATCACTTTAAACATGATTCCGGCGCCATTTGCTGCTGCGGTGTCAAAAGTAGCATGCTGACCTACATGGGCCAGGCCAATTGGCTGACGTTAGGGATGCGATAACACCACGCAGCAGAACTGACGTCCGGCACAAGACTAAACCAAACCAAACTCTCGTTCGCGAATTCGTGTTGAAGTTGTACTAGCCTGGCGGTTTTCAGTGATGCTTGCGATGTCCGGCAAGTTCCCATCAGCTGGGTTCAAACCACCGCTCTCCGCGAACGGCACGCTGCACCATCAACCTCGCTGGGTTCAAAAAGAGATGTTGAGACTTTTTCCCAAGGCTTTCTGCCGTGCCACTGATGGTGCATGCGCCCAATCCAATGCCTCGGAGACGGCGCCGGAAGACTGTGTGGCTCGGGAATGCACGGCGCAGGCTCGCGGCAGCCAGCAGTTGCCGTTTGCGTTGGCTCATCCGCCTGCGGACGCCCGCGCACGAAACGGTTCGATGACGATTCCGATGACTTCAGTGACTTCAACATTCCTCGACAATGTTGGTGCGTGCACAGCTCTTTTGCTCACACATGACGAAGATTGAGCCGCCGTAAAGCTCCTGATGCAAAGCATGCATGCTTCCATATTCCGTGGTACGGCATTGTGTCAGTATGTGCTATTAGTTCTTGTGTACTGCCTGCGCTGCAAGAAGAAGAGCTCTACTACTACTGGAAGTATGATGACAAGGAAACCATGCTGTCGTGCAGCATGGATCCAAGCCCTCAGAGTGCTGTCGTCGTCTGATGCAGCTGCCAGGCGCCATGAGCCTCGTCGCCACACAGATGGCACACTCGTGCAGTCAGTCGGCGTCTGAGGCATGAAAGATCGGCGGATGGCAGGGGAGGGACATGAGTCGATGGGAATGAGGGAGATGACAGGACGGGATGAGGGGGTTCTTGAGCCACATGTTGAGCCTTGACGCCGTACACGATGCTCCACATCTCCGGAGCCTCGCATCCCGTACGGCAATGCGAGAACTTTGCGAGCGTCACAACGTGCAACATGCTGCTGCCTCGCCTTCTGCAGATTTGGGACGATGAGTCCATCCTGCAAAACTCCCGCTGCGTGGATGATGCTCTCGACACCTGGCCAAGCCACTTCGAAGGTGAGGAAAACCTTGGGTAGAACTGCCGAGACCGGAACCCATTCGTCTCTGCGGGAGAGCCAAAGTTGTTGTCGTCTCGGCGCGGCTTAACTGACACATGCTCTGAGCCATCCTTGCGACTGGCAAAGGTCGGGACCGTGATGTTCTTGATCCGGACCCCCAGCTCTTGCACCTGCTCTGCCAATTCGCTTCCAGTCCTGCAGCTCACTTTCAGTCCCTTCATGGGCTGACAGCAACCGCGCCAGAAGTTTCACTGCTCAGGAGGGAGCTTCTGGATGGCACGAAGCTGTGCAGGTCCACGTCCTCCGCCGTCCACCCTTGCTTTAAGCCTCCAGCAAGGCTCCTCTCTTCCAGCACTGGCATCGAAAGAAACCGGCTGTGCTCCGCGCTTGGAGATGAGGTCGACCACTTCATCTTCCTGGGATGAACACTGATCACGCGCTTGGGTATGTCACCAGGGCTTGCGAGGCCCAAGCCCGATCTCGCACTTCCTGCGCATCTTCCTCAGTGAAGATGGGATACCACTGATCCCATATGCAAGCTGCACGAAACCCAGGGACCCACCACTGTCACATCGGCACCGAATTGCACCTTTTCACTCGCCTCCTGCAAAGTCGTGTCCCGCCCGCATGTCTGAAGAGGTGGTGTGCTGCTGTCTACATGTGGCTCTGCGGTTCAATACTGCTGCTGACGCTGACGGCTCTGTATGCACGTCCGCACGTCCTTCGAAATGTCGATAATCTCCTGCCAGGATTCTCCTATCATCTCGTGCCAAGACGGCGCCGAGCCGACTGCCTTCTTGATGCGCTCCAAGGTTTCAAGGGAAGGCCTGCATGTCACATGCTGCGCTGCCGTGCCATGCGTGCCGAGCTTGGCTGGGACTGGTGCCTTACCAATTCATCGGGCATGGTCTCGAGCCTTGCATGTGTGCCCTGACTTCATCGCTCCTCATGGATTCTTCCCGCAAAAACTACCGAGCAGGATACTGAGCGCGGGTTGCAGTGATGATGCTGCCCAACGTTACCTTGGTCACAGGCGCAAGCCTCGTTGCTGTGGCGCTTTGCCCTGACGGCTGCTGCGGCTCTGGCCGCAGACTCTGCCAGGAGACCTGGACGGCCTTGAGACCAAAGCAGCAAGAAGCTCTTGTGAGCTCTTGTGCACGCAGTTCGCCCGCAACACTCGGCCAGGCACAGAAAGCTTGGATGGTGTCCAGAATGACCTCCAACAACGGTAACACGGTTCTTCCGTTTCCATGATGTCATGGTTGTGCTGTGCCACCAAGTTGCAGAACCATCCGAGCAGTCAGCCTTCACCATGTAATGCGGACCTGGCACCAGTACACAAATGTCCTCTTGGAGGTTTGCACCGATGGAAAGAGCCATCTCGGGTGTTGACATGTAGTCTGCATTGCTGCCATCCTGGGATAGCTTATAGTAATGTCTGCAAAGGCTCACTTCTCACACTTGCGGTCGAGATGCAACTGCTGCAGCGCAGGTGGCATGCCTGTGGGGCGCCCACTCCTGCATTCGCCGTTCGACGCAAGGGCCACTGGACAATCATTCCCGAGCACTAACTCACATTGAGAGCAAAAGAGAGACGCGCGAGAGTTCGTCTCCTCGATGTCGCGACCACATGGTCCTCATTCCCCCGATGCAGAACTGCAGTGTGCCCACTTTGACTGTAGCCGTCAAATTTGAGCCCAGCTTTAGCTCACGAGGTGGCCTTCCCAGCTATGGCAAGCTCGTTCGCTGCGAGCATGCCCAGCCCTCCCAAGCCTTGGCACCAAGGACTTAAGCGCACTCACCGAACCAAGATAAGAACTCCTGAACAAAGCTGCAGACCACCCGTAATCAGAGCCATCCTGCGGCCAAGTCCTGCACGAGAGCTTCGCCCAGAACCGCATCGAGAAAACTTCGGCGAACAGCAGCACAAGGTGCAGCACGCCTTGGGCCTGGAGCCCGCCGCTCTTTAATCCGGCAAGGTCTTGAGCCAAGAAGTTTGCGCCAGAACATCGGTGCTGCTCATCAAGTCCCAACGAAAACTCTGCGTGATGACAAGCCAACCCCCAACCCCTCACCCAACCGCACGCCAGACACCCAGCCACACCCAGCCACACGCAGCCACACCCAGCCACACTCCCAGCCACCCCCCACCCACCCACTCACCCGTTGACGCAAGTAGACTCGCTGCAGACAAAGCGGAGAACGAGCTTGCAGCCACCTCCCGACGACGCAGCTGCTGCGACTGCAAGCGAGGCTGGGGTTGAGACGGAGACTCAACCTCACAGAATTCAGAAAACCTCATCCCAGCTTGCTTTTGCAACGGCACTGGCGGTAAACAGTCACAGGGACACTGATGCTCGTAGTTTGGAACTCCATTGTCCATTACTTTACGTGATCCCGGGGTCCCGCACGTCGGAAGTTCTCGGAACAACTTCTCGCTGCTGCCATAGCGTGGACCAACGTTCCTGACAGCATGGAAAGCAAAAATGTTCTGTGATGGCCAGGTTACTGCTGGTACCTGCTTTCCCAAGCCGAATCCTTGATGCAATTGTCGTTGTGTGCATGTCTTAGCGGTCTTAGCGGCTCTCAGCGACTGGTTGCCGGCTTCCAAGTTAGAGGCCGTCAAAAACCCCCCGGCGAAAAAGCTGCAGCCAGCTCCCTTGCACATTCTACTCGCCTCGGAGTCTCCCTCGGGAACTGACAGGTCGCTGCCATGAGCCCCTCAGGACACGAGCTGCCCAGAGCCTTGAAAAGAGGGCTTTCACGCTGAGCGCTGCACGGGCCAAGCCCCAGCTTCCTCGAGCCACCTCCGACTTCGGCAGTTTACGAGAGCCAGGAACCGACGCCCCCAATTCCCGACCTCTGACAAGAGCTGGTCCGAGCTCCAAACGGCATGGCCCTGCAAGGTCATGGCAGCAGAGAACTCTCTGACCATGTCTCTGTTCTGCACTTGTGGAGTTCCTGGAAGACAGCGGCACCGAGCGGACGAAGATTCGTCTGCTCTGAGAGAACCTCAAACGAAGAGCTGCACAATGCAATGTCCTGAGAGGATGGGGCCTACCGCAAGCTTACAGGACAATCCGATCCATGAGTTCAGTCTTTGTCTTTGAACTGGCAAGTGCTACCGTTAGCAGTCTGTCGTTCAAAGCGCCACACTGTCGGAGCTGCCCCCAGCATGCTGTGCTTCTTCCAGCACGGGGCCCAGCTGACAGTCTGTACATGCCTTTAAATCCACAGGAGTACAACGGCAACTATGCTATTTTGCCTATCTAGGGTGAAACCAAGAGCTCCGGGACTGCCTGAGGACGTCCACGTGAGGTCATCGGGGCCCCTGCTCGTCATGGGAGGTCGCGACGTTGGTTCCAGCAGTCGTTTTGGACACGCAGGCGGTACAGCGCTCTGCAACGCAGAGTTCACAGCGCTCCGGATAATCTGGGCAGAAAAACAAACAGTTTGACAGCCTGCAGTCTATGAGCTCACCCAAACATCCAGCGCAGCGCCCATGTTGACCTCTACCGAGGATACAAGAGACCGCGCAGTCTGCCCTCTCGCGACCTCTCGGGCGTCTCGAGCATTCCTGACCACACTGCTGTAGATCTGTCGAGTTCTCAATGCAATCTCGACGGGCGACCTTGCCAGCATCAGTTGCTTGGTAGTGTCATCTCGCAGAAGACTCAGACTCAAGCATCTACCAACCGAGCTATGGAAGGCATGCCATAACCATCAACCGGCCCTGCCAACTCGCAGGCAAGATGCAGCCACACTCAGCACCAGCAGGACCAGACCATGTCTCACTGCCATGGATCGGAGATTTCACAGCTGGGGCCAGACCAGCTGTATCAAAGTGACTGCAAATAGAGCCAGAAACACAGTCACATAGCAAGTGACTATAGCGGCTCGGCTGTAATGCATTAGTCTGCCACGCGGGGATGCACGAGCTAGAGAGCTGCACTCTCAAGTCAGGGCACCTGCAACACATCTCGAAGCTCTGCGAAGAGGGCGCCGCAGGGACCGGGAGCACCCTCGGAGGGCAGACCTGCATTCCACGGCTCCCGCAAGAATCTCTTCGGATCAGGAGACAAGAGACACAGAGTCTGCCGTGCACGCACGCAGAAACATTTTCCGTCACTTGTCATGCTGCCACGCAGAATCCACTTTGCCCTTCTTGTCGGGATGCTTGTTCCTGAGCGACGTACGCGGGGGACGGCCGATGGGTCCAGTCGTGGAACTGACACCAGGGTGTGCTATGAGGTGCTTCATGGTGCCTGTCATGTTGAAGCAAGGAGCAGATCTGCGTAGGTGAACTCCTGCCGATAAACCTTCTCTTTCTCCGCATTGCGGCCCGTGCAGTCGCAGTAGAAAATGTCGTCGAAGTGCTTCCTGGGCAGGACCACGGCGTTTTCGACGCCTCTCAGCCCTTGAGAGAGAAACTGCCACTCTCACTCAAACAGCTTCGATGCCGCAAGGCTCGCCGCCATGCAGAAGCAGCCTTTGCCGCATTTCTGCAGGCAAGCCGGAGCTGGCCGCTCCTTCGGCCAAACCTCACATGGCGTTCTCGAAAATCCTCAACTCTGAGCTCGGAGTCGCCTTTGCCATTTCATCCTCACCGACGGCTTGCACAATTCGGCGGGCCTCAGCTTGCGATGAGTGCAATGCTTTCTCATGGTTCTCACAATTTCTGACATTCCCTTTGGTGACTTTGCCAGAGTCCCCTCGATCCACAGGAATAGCAAATCTTGGGCACCGGCATCTTCCTCCAAGGAGACAAGACTCCTCTCAGCAGACACTACGAGCACCATGTGAACAGTCCTGAGGCAGACAGGCGACTGTTTTTGGTGAGGATATCTGCATGCCTCTTCATGCCTCTTCTGCGAGTCTCAGCCGCACACATCCATTGCAAGAGGGGTCGTCTCACGATCCTGAGTACTTGCACAGCACTGATTGCATGCACGTTTTGCTGCAGCCACGCTACATTAGGGAGATCTGACCGAAGCATCTGGGCTTCGGAGTAGGGCCTGACAGCCAACCTCGGCAAGAAAATGACTGGGACACTGGTTCTACCTCCGAGCATGAAGACGCGCTCATGATGCAGACAAGGATCCGCTTGGAGTTGCACAAGCGCTGCCAATTTGAGCCGCATGCAGCGATCACAGTACTTTTTCTCTCCAAGGCAAAACTATCTAAGGTGAGCAGCTTTTACATCTTATGCTGCACACCGAAAGGCAGAACACGTCTGAGTACTACTTTCTCATGGGGCACATACACCCGCTTAAACTCTGCGTACCCGTGCCCGTGAAGGTCAAACTTGGAGTTCGAGTCCTACCGCACAGACTCAATCACGACGTTTGGACTGATTGTTTACTTGGTTAAAGTCGGCGAAACCAGGTGCTCCAGTCCTGGAGTGCAAATGGCAATCTGGCATGTTGTGATGTGGTGCAGCGATCATTGGTTCTCGGTTTCATCTAAGGTCCAAATCGGTGCATGTTACGTTCTACTGTCAGAATCTCTGACAATACCACATCAAGCACGTGGACAGTCGAATACTGCAAGACTCACGCTGTGCTTGCGTCTGGACTTTTCGATGGGACAAGCACAGTGTTTGGCAGAGCCCCGTCTGACACAGCAAGTAACATTCGGACACGGCCTTCAACACTGTGCACGAGCCGTGGCAGAGGCTGAAGGAGCTCGCCCTGCAAGAAGTGTCGCGCTTCCAGGACGACGTGCAGAAGTCTTTTCTTCCCGAAAGCATCGCGAAGGGTTCTTCCGTGCAGAGCCCTTCAGAGAAGTACATAGGATCAAGTACACAGAGGATCAGGTACACAGCGTTAATACATCGATTGAAGTGCAGAGTATCGAGTGCATATTACACCGGTGCATAGTACACAGAGTGAAGTGCATAGTACACCGAGTGAAGTAGATCAGCGTGAAGTACATCGAGTGAAGTGCATCGAGTCAAGTG